CATTAAGATGCTTTATTTCTTGATTGACAAAATATATCTTACGTTTGGAGGACGTGTTTTTCAACAAACAAATGACATTTTCAAGGGAACCAACTGTGCTCCTCTTCTTTCTGCTTGTTCCTTTATTCATATGAGGCTGTCTTCATACAGGAGCTTCTTAGGAAGAAAGAAAATAAGTAAGCATTATCCTTTAACTTCACTTTCCGCTATATAATTGATGTTCTCTCACTAAATAATTCAAAATTTGGTGACTATGTTGAACGCATCTATCCCATCGAACTTGAGATAAAGGATACAACAAATACAGTTAAGTCTGCTTCATATCTTGACTTACATCTAGAGGATCGGTTGAAAACAAAACTTTACGACAAAAGAGATGATTTCAGCGTCCAAAGTGTAAACTTTCTACGTAGCAATATTACAGCAGCGCCTGCATACGGAGTATATATCTCCCAGTTGATACGATATTCCAGTGCTTGTATTGCTTATCATAATTTCCTTGATAGAGGGTAACTGTGGACAAGGAAGCTATTTCACAGATGACAACGGATATGTTCCAATTTTTGTAACTACAATACCGTCCTCTTTTCCCCGAATTATACTTATTGCCGGGTTTGTGCTTACAAGATGCTTACATATGTGGAGTACGTACCTTTACCTTTAGCATGGTTCATTGATCCATTTTGCAGAAATAATAATCAATTAGTCAACTGCATTTTGTGTTTGAAATGATTATTAGCTGTTCGTGTATGTCAGGAAGCGTCCGAGTGTGGCATCGTTTTCATAGATCATTAGTCAATTAGGTACGTCTGCCAGGGTTAATATGACCTTCATATAATTTTTATTGTTCATTGGTGAACGTTACATTTTTAGGATAGGTCATTTACCCTAAATACAATAGGTCATTTATATTTGCTATATGGAATGATTGTAAGGTGTGCATATCCGTCTGGCAGTGTTCATCTGATCTTGATCTCATTTCCATAGTAAATTGGTCCACATTAATTTTTCGTGGGCAGGTCCATTCCTTAGAAATCATAAGCAATAAGTCGGGTGTATTCGGTGTAATGAATAATTATAAGGTGTACACTCCTTTCGGGGAGGGTTCATCAGATCTTGAGGTCATTTTCCTAATTCATTGGTAAACTTAATTTCTATGATTATGTTCATCTCTAATACCCTACGACCTTGGCCTCTTTTTTTCATTGCTCAATGGTTTTGTAGAGAGGCTATATGTCAAAGATATTTGGTGTATGGAAAGATTGTAAAATGTACGCCTGGCAGGGTTTTTATAACCGTCATATTATATTTATTTATTGTTCATTGGTGAACGTTGCATTTATATTTTAGGTCTTTCCCCCAGATACTATAAACAATAGGTCAACTATATTTGCTGTATGGAATGATTGTTAGGTGTACATGACCATGTAGCAGTGTTCATCTGATTTTGACATCACTTGCATGGTTCAGTGGTCTACTTTAATTCTTCGTGGACAGGTTCGTTTCTCAGCAATACGTCATGTACATTTGTTGTCATAAATGATTGTAAAGTGTACATGTACGTCTAGCAGTGTTAATATGACCTCCACATCCGTGTAACCTAACATTAATGAACGTTACATTTCAATGTTAGGTCTTTGTTTCCAGATAGTACTGTGGATTCATTATTAGTCGATAGATACCAATTGTCACGGAATTTGTGGGTTTCATGGTTCATTGGTTAATGAATTTGTTTAGTAGACAAGCCATAGGTCAAACATCTTTGGTGTATGAACATATTGTAAAGTGCACATGTACGTGTAGCAGGATTCATATGACTTTCACAGCATTTTCATTATACATTAATAGACGTTACATTTTCAAGGTTAAGTCTTTTCCCAGATACTCTAAGCCATAGGTCAACTATGTTTGAAGTATGGAATGATTTGAAGGTGTACATGTCCATCTAGCAGTGTTTATGTTTCTGTATTGTTATGAATTACATTTTATGCCTAAAATCAGCAAAGACCCATCGAAACCATATCTGATACCAAAATTTAATAACACTTTTAGATATTTGGATGATATATTGGCTCTAAATAATGACGACTTCAGTATGTACACTGAAGAAATTTATCCTGCTGAACTGACTTTAATTAAAGCTAATACTAACAATGAACACGGCCCTTTCCTGGATCTTGATATCTATATCTTAACGGGAAGCTTAATACCAAAATTTATGATAACAGAGATGATTTCTCATTTCCTATTGTTAATCATCCATTTTAAGATGGTGACGTTCCCTTGTCACCATCTTAAAGTGTTTATATATCTCAACTTGTTCGATTCGCTCGTGTATGTTACAACGTATTTGATTTTAATGAAAGAAATCTCTGTATTACTGAAAAATTATTACACCAGGGTTTTCGATATCACAAACTAGTCAAAACATTTACTAAATTTTATCATCGGTACAAGGACATCAATCGTAAATATAAATCAACATGCATACATCTTATACGTTCAGGTATTTCACATCCAATCTTTTATGGTAATATTCTATACAAAGCACAAAAATGTCGGCATTCACCTCAAAAGTTGACCAAACCTTTAAACAGACTTATTCAGAAGGGATATAGTTACGTTACTGTTGTCAGGTTATTGAAGATGGCATATTTTGGTATTAATATTGATTTACTCATAGGGTCTTTGCATCGGAGATAAACACATTTGTACTAAAACCAGTTGTTGGCATGATACTTTTCTCATATATTTTATGATGGTATGATACTAAACCCCTAACGGGAGGGATTATGCTTGACTTTCATATGATGAAGACATAATCTTTCAATCAGTTTAATTGAAGTCTGAAGCTGGCATGTCAGTAACTGCTAGTAGTCCCTTGTTAATTTATGTATCATTGTGATTTTGCTTAGTTTCTTTTGTTACCTATTCTGACATCGAAAACGGACTTCTTTTAAACTGAGTTTTACTGTGCGTATTTCTGTGTGTTTGTTTATTCTACATTGGCCAGAGGTATAGAGGGAGGGTTGAGATCTCACAAAACATGTTTAACCCCGCCGCATGTTTGCGCCTGTCCCAAGTCAGGAGCCTCTGGCATTTGTTAGTCTTGTATATTTTGTAATTTTAGTTCACTTATATGTTTCGGAATTTAGTATGACGTTCATTTTCACTGAACTAGTACACATTTGTATTTAGGAGCCAGCTGAAGCCCGCCTCCGTGTGCGGGATTTCTCTCTGTGTTGACGACCCATTGGTGGCCTTCAGCTGTTTTCTGCTCTTTGGTCGGGTTTTTGTCTCTTTGACATACTCCCCATTTCCATTCTCAATTTTATTGACCTTATTTTCATGGATCGTTGGTCTATATACATTTTTCGTGGACAGGTCCGTTTCACAGAAACAATAAGCAATAAGTCACGTATATGTATTGTACATAGAATGATTATAAGATGTACACTACTTTCCTGCAGGTTTCTTCAGACCTTGAACTCATTTTCTTTCTTCATGGTAAACTTAATATTTATGATTATGTACATCTTTCATGTACTTTAAGCAATAGGACAACTATGTTTGGTGTATGCAATTATTGTTAGGTGTGCATGTATGTCAGGAAAAGTTTGTTCACATGACCTTAACATTTTTTTTATTGTCGATTGGTCAAAGTTACATTTTTAATGTTAGGTCTATTTCCCTGATACTGTAAGCAATAGGTCAACTCTAATGGTTCATCGATAAGATTGTGTGTTCTCTGGTTTAGTTTCATACATATGTAAGGACAATTTGTTTGTTCCTGTTTAAGTATTTTGACAACTTTCACAAAAAACTCCTATAACCTGCTTAATTCTTTTTATATAGGCTTCATTATCCATAGCCTCAATAATGCAGAACAGATACTAGTAATAAACAATATTGTGCTGTTCGTCGCTCCTGATCTTCTCCAATAAATCTTCCCTGAGCACAAACATCAAAATTCCGAAACCTTCGACACAATACAAATGCATAGTGTTAACATTGTGCCACGTTTCAAGATTCTTGCGGAGAATATCCCTGATATCATTATATATTTCATTTATATCATATGCAGAAATTTAATAGATTGTGTTGGAATTTTTGTATGGCTCCTTGAATATGGTATCTAGGGGGAAAAATCGAAATTTGTTCTCCATCATGAAGAACTTAGAACTTCATAAGATAAACCCAAAAGCAGTAATTATGTATTTTACATTATAAATTTGGATGACAGAATAAGTAGAGATTATCTGATTTATAAAACTACATGTATTTAATTTTAAGGTATTATAACTTGGTGAATATTATTTGTGATAGTAATACGGTGAATATGTTATCCCGTATAATTGTCAAAAGGTAATATTTGGTTGTAATTTAATGATGTATGCCTTCAGGGTACTAGATTGTGTTCTTCTTCACAACCACCGTGTGCTGACTAGAGTGTAATACTATTGGAATATGACTTTATGTGTTATCTGCCTTCTGGATTATGAAGTATAAAAAGAAATTCACAAAAATCGTCTTACGCAATTAAGGATAGAAACTTGATATCGTGTAAACAATCAACACTAACAGTTTGCTCAAGACTTGGAAGTTTGATTTCTTGCCCTATGGACATAGAAAGGAGAAACATGCTTTCGTTATGCTGTCTAAGTGAAACACTGTATATTATTGTGGATAGGAAGTAGACTACCTAACACTATACACGATATTACAAATGATGGTGTCGATATTTTATCACTTCATTTTATGGGAAATGAGTGACTCTATATAAACGTTATATAATTGGTTAAAGTTTTGGACAGACAGCTGCTTTTTAGAACCTATGCATTTATTTATTTGGCAATAAAAATTTATCATTTGAAGCCATTATAAATCAAAACAAAACATACGCATCTGATAGCTTTCACTTGACTTTTACGTTAGCATCGTTATTTAGTGGACTTCAACATATGTTTTCTTCGTTACTTAAAAATTATGGAAGACGTGACGTTTGTTTGAAAACATTTATATTATAACAGTTCGCTGCAGAAATAATCTAAAACAACTAAACTAGATGCAATATAATAGAATGAGTACTTTTTAATCCACTTTGTTACAGAATATTGGTCAATTGTCTAACTAAGACACCAAGTATCTGTTTCAAATCACAATTATTCCTGATTTTAATACTTTAAATATAAGGGTTATGAATATTTGCACGATAATATATTTTTCAACTATATAATTGTTTACTGTATACAACTATTGTATACTGTAATTATAAAGCAAATGATTAGTTATAACTGTTAGAAGAGAATCGAACCCTATATCATTTCACCTTTCATGCATGCAACAAAGCAAATATTTTTAGCAATCATATATGATCAAAGTTTCATCATTTCAATGAAAACTCTGTATAGATGAATTTCATTCAATTCGAACAAGTGTATGTGAAAGCGTTAACTGGCTATTTATAATTTTAAAGCAATTTCAAAATTCGTTATTTATAAATTACAGAGACCGCCTTAAATAAAATAAATTTCATTAACTGATTATATACAATTTAAAATCAAAGTAATTTGATCGGAATATGCAGTTAGGTAAACTGGAATCTAAACTTTTCTTCTTGTCCTTCTTGTACGACGTGTGTGAGATGCACGTGATCAATTTCTGTTTCATCTGACAGCATTGTTCTCCATGTCCCTTTGAGGTAGTCGTTACAATGAATTACTCCTCCGGGTACATACAGTGTATGACGTACAGGAAGTCGAAAGGCTGTTATGTGGAAGTCGCCGTTGTCCATGAATTTTGCAAGGATAAAAAAGCCCGAATCTTCTGACAAGGGACAATCTAAGTGTGAGAAATCATGCTTTTCAACTCCTGCTCCACCATTTGTAGCCGTTACATACTTTTCCAAGTATCCGTTTTCATAAGTGAAATCCTGGATTCCGTGGCGGAAGAGCAAAGATATTTTTTCTTGCTGACTATCGGCAAAACTGCAGCCATAATACCGCAAAAGTTCCGATGTGGCCTGTTCGATTGGTACTTGTTTGTCATATTCAAGTGGAAATATCAACTTTCCTGATTTTCCGGGTATTGTACTTGATAACCATCGTGTGTCTTTTACGACCGCATGCTTTGGTACCAATGGAGGCAGATCACTGAAACAAGCAAGGTCAATCAAGCTATACTCTCCTGGAACAATATCTGCTACCATTCCGTGTCCACCAGTCATAACAACAGAACCTGTCTGTCCAGCCCTTCGGAATGTAGCAAATTTATCCCATCGTTGTCTAATATAGGTAGCTAGTTCATCTGCCTCTGTGTCCTTATAGACTTTCTGAAGGCTGCCTTCAAAATCATCTAGAGTTGAATCAGTACCTTGTTCTATTTCCTCTTCCAATATTGGCACAAGAACCTCTGCTCCACTGCCTGAAACCAACTTTTCAAAATCATTAAACGATATTTCGTCAGTAGTAATGTTAGCGAAAGACTTCAAAATTTTTGTCATTCTCGCGGATCTGTTCTTTTCCCAAACAAATTCCGTAAATTCCCGGAAGTTCAAAGTTCCTGATCCATCACGATCAGCCTCCAAAAATGCCTTTCGCATTGCATTCACGCATTCTGCAGTTTCAGTTTCGTTCATGATATATAAACAAAAGTAGTTTTTGAATTGTTCGAATGTAATCTGTTCACTTTTATTTGTATCTACAGATTTAAAAATAAGATTGCTTTCTTTTTCCGACATGTTTAATCCAAGACCCTTTAAGAAGTTTGCAAATTCATTTTTATCCAATAATCCGTTTCCATTTGTGTCAATTTTCATAAACATCGCCTTTATCTTTTCTTCACTTTCTTTTTCCAAGGAAGGACGCTTTGTTTGTATTTTGTCTTTCGGTTTTTCTGTCGTTAATGGTTTAACAACCTTTCTGGATGTGTCATCGAAAACTTGCTTTTTAGACTGCCTCTCTGCCCGGAGCTTTGTTTTATTTAGAGCAGATTCGATATCTTCTACTTGTTTATTCAAACTATCTTTCTTTTCCCTTGCTGCCATACTTTTCAAATGCCTTTCCTTAAGGAGTTTTTGAACAGGTGTTGTATTATCTCTCAAGCACTGAATTATTTCCTCTAGGTCAGATAACCAGGCCCGTTTCTCATTTTCGTCATCGACAGCAATCTCCATTTCTAGAACTGGGACATTCGCGAGCCTAAACCTGCCTTGAAAATGTTTCAATACACCACTGTACCCTTCAAGGCTTTCTAGTTTAGTATTCTTAGTAAACGTAAATTCGCCTTTTTGGTTGGATTCAGCTTTTTTGGGTACTCTTGTTAAAGCTTTAGCATCCGTACCATAGTATCGAAGATACTGAGGTGTCAAAACACACCAACGTTTTACCCAATTTGTCCAATTTGCCTGCTTCTTAGTACGCTTGTGTACTTTGCCTTTCTTCATTACCTCTACGACCAACCACATGTAGAGATCGTCGATACACGTGGTTATTTGTTGCTGTGATTTGTCGGAAAAGGCAAAATCCTCCATAATTGATAACATTTCTTGGAAAGTAAATTTGTCTTGCCTAAAGGCATCATCTGAAGATTTGAGATTATGCTCTAGATTAGACAGCACTTTCTCTAAAAGCCAACTTGCCTCCTCGCGGAAGATCACAGGTGGGTAGCTGTCTTCCTTCATCAGACGATTAGAAATGCGCCATAGTTTGTAAACGTCTCCTGTCTCAAGATTACTTTTCATTCCAGACTTAAGGTTGTTCCAACTCAATTCCTCCAAATCACTGCAAGTTTTCGAATAGGCAACCCCGTTTTCCCGTAGATGTTTTTTTACGTACTCTTTGAAATCATTGAACTTTACAGTCGCCTCTGAAAACGTGTCGGAAAATGTGCGCTCAGAAAATTGGATTGATTCGTATAGAGCAGCATTTGTGAGAAACAATTTCAATGCATCTTTATTTATGTTTACACTGTTGAGACGATCGAGGGAATATATAGCCTGCCAAACACAGGTCAGCTGTTCTCCTGGCATTTTTACCTGCAAAAAGAAATTTAAAAAAGAAATTTTAACACAGACCAAATGACAACAATTTGTAGAGATGAACAAATAATGAAAACAACATTTGAAATCCAAGGATGTATGAAAACCAAACCAGTTGAAGAGCTATAGGACCAAAGAGGACCCAAACAATTAGCCCAAAACAATCAAAGGTCAACTTTGCCTGAGGGAGTTCTGTTCTTAATTTCTTTCTGATTCTGAATTTACAAACAAACAGTTTTAAAAAGGTTTGTTACAAATCATGTCAGTAACGAGTACTGACTATTAAGTTGGTGATACCCTGGGGATTGATAGTCCACCAGCAGCGGTGTCGACCCATTGGTGTAACAGATGGAACCAACACTTAATTAATTTTATGCGTCCGAAGTGCTTTTCTGGATTTACTTTCACCAGGAACGCCCAAAGCCGAATATTTGAAAGCCAAGGACGAATTGACGATTACGAGTTAGTCTAACGTGAAATAATGCATCGGTCATAAAATTTTGATTATCTGAAAATGTATGTCAATTTTGTCGTTGAAAGACATTACTAAGGGAAATAATTCTTTAAAATCACTGGTATGTTTATTTCAACCATTTTCATTGATATTTTCTAAGCTTCTTAGTAAAACAGATTGATTTAATTTCATTCCACATGAATGCTTGAAGGCATGGATGAAGCTGACTATTAAAAGAGTTAAACCATGTCTACCCACTAAATTGATTCCGAAAGTGTGACTTTGTCAATTTTGTTTTTACAGTTTTTCTACATGTAAAGTAAGTTTGGTTTGCTGCAGTGAAGAGCAATAGTGTGATGCAAATATCGCACATTTTATATCTTTTCTATGTACATATTTTATCTATATAGATAGTTCAACTACAGAAGGTATCTTTACTATCCTTATGTATGTAACTAATTAAGAATGATTGTATGTTAAAGTAAACATTTCTAATCAATAATTGCATATTAAGACTCTTTGTTACCCAAGCTCTTATCACAGCAAACCTATATTAGCTTCTGGAATGGGACATAACTTATATCTAATGAAAATATAAATTTAATTCAGTGTTTCTGAAATATTTGTTTGGGCATGGCTATTAATTAAGATATATAATTGAATTGGATTTATAAAAATGTATGAAGTTTAAAACCAGTTGGTGTAATTGTCCTTGCCAAAATATAATTACATTATGTAAAACTGAGAATGGAAATGGGGAATGTGTCAAAGAGACAACAACCCGACAATAGAACAGACAACCACAGAAGGTCACCAACAGGTCTTCAATGCAGCGAGAAATTCCCGCACCCGGAGGCGTCCTTCAGCTGGCCCCTAAACAAATATATATACTAGTTCAGTGATAATGACCGCTATACTAAACTCCAAATTGTACACAAGAAACTAAAATTAAAAATAATACAAGACTGACAAAGGCCAGAGGCTCCTGACTTGGGACAGGCGCAAAAATGCGGCGGGGTTAAACATGTTTATGAGATCTCAACCCTCCCCCTATACCTCTAGCCAATGTAGAAAAGTAAACGCATAACAATACGCACATTAAAATTCAGTTCAAGAGAAGTCCGAGTCTGATGTCAGAAGATGTAACCAAAGAAAATAAACAAAATGACAATAATACATAAATAACAACAGACTACTAGCAGTTAACTGACATGCCAGCTCCAGACTTCAATTAAACTGATTGAAAGATTATGTCTTCATCATATGAATATCAGGCACAATCCTTCCCGTTAGGGGTTTAGTATCATACCATCATAACATATATGAGAAGAACATAACCCGTGTCATGCCAACAACTGGTTTTTAAATAAATGTGTTTTGTGCCGATGCAAAGATGTGTTCTTTTTGGAAAATTTCTTCCAAGAACCAGTTTCTGTTTAGTTTACAGAGATGCAATCTATAGAAATTGACTATCTGCGTACCATGTCCGCCTTGTATATTTTTATTCACCTTAATAGATGTTTATAGTAGTTAGCACAATATATTTTTGTCGAAGAATGCAGTGATGAAATTACAGTTTTAAAAATTAAACATGTATGACTAGATTTTTTATAACATGTACTAAACAGTAATCTAACTCATGATATATATATATTGTATATCCTATCTTATTTACTTAGCTTCCTTTGTAGTCAAGATTAAATATGAACTTTGGTATGCCATGGTGAAACGTTTTGAAGTCGTTTCAAGTGGATTTTGTTTCCTTGTAAATATATAGAAGGTTGCATTTTGCTACACATTTTAAATGTGCTTTTAACCTGCTACACAACTGAAAGTGACAAATTGAAAAATTCTACATCTTTATATTTTTATATGATTACGTAACGATGTCAAGATTGATCTAAAACCACTTATTTTATACTCTTTAAATTTTTTAAGTACATTTATTCGGTACTATTCAGTTGCGTTATAATGTATTACAAGTTTAACCGACCTTGCAAAAAAGATTGCTTTAACAGGGATCAGTCATTCATTTTTTTTTCTCTTCGTGAAGAATGAACCAGTCTTATGTTTATGGAATTTGCGTTTCATCAAATATTTGCGTTTAAAGAAAATTATAAAATTGAGAATGGAAATGGGGAATGTGTCAAAGAGACAACAACCCGACCATAGAACAGACAACAGCAGAAGGTCACCAACAGGTCTTCAATGCAGCGTTTGTCTAATATTTCTTTTTAATGGTTCCAGGAAGGGAAATTATTACAAGGGCATCAATAGTGTATTTCAATAATACCCAAATAAAAAAAGAGGCGGCAGATATCAAGAAGTCTTTCACTACCCCTAAGTTGAAGATAAACTGACAACTACAGGGCAAAAAACCAAAAGATGACAAAAAGACAAACAAGTCAACGAAACACTGCATACAAAACTAAAGACTGAGCAACACGAGCCCTATCAAAATTGTAAGTAATTTCAGGTACTCTGGAAGGGTGAGCAGACCACGCTCTAAAAACTTTCGAAGGGATAACTTCTCTTTTTCCACTAAGAACCCCGTGTTTAATAGCTTAACTTGTAAGCAGCAACCATCTATCAACGAAATTATGATAGGAAAAAACATCACACCTACAAGGTTTATTATTTGTTACGACAGACTTTCGTCTAAATAAAACTCATCAGTGACACTCGAATCTAAACAATTGAAGGCACAATCAAATACGAAGCGTCAGCTTTTCATTATCTTTTTCCTTTTTGTCTAAAGTTTTGGTCTCAACCGACCGTCCCGGTGCAAATCAAAATATGACGCAACATTAACTGTATCTGTGTTTCATTTATTACAAGTTTGTTGGGATAGATAAACTCATATTACGGTGGAACAACTAACATTTAAAAAATTGATTGATTCATTTCTGACTTTCTTTTTTTACACAACTCGAGTAAATACTTCTTTATAGTCACAACTCTACAAATAAAACATTATTTACCTAAAATGTAACTCTGTTTCTTTCTATGAATCACATGCTACCTATGCGAAAAGGTTGGCATTGTGTAAAAACAATAAGATTTGATAGAACTGCCCAAGTGCTAACTACCAACAAGAGACCAAATATTGTAGATGTCCAAAAATGAGCAAAAAAGAAAAAAAAAGAGAATAGTAAGCTTTAAAAAACCCCAACAAGACAAACTGTAAAACAATTAAATCTAGAAAAAGATCGGCCTGATTAATTTGCAAAACAATAAACAAGAAACAAATATGATAAACAGCAACCACCAACAACTACTGAAATACAGGTTCATAACTGGGATATGCATATACAGTATATTGCGTGGTTAAACATGTATGCAACCGTCAACCCTCTATAACCTGGGACAGTGGTGTATTAACACAACGTAAAAAAAACTGTAAAATGGCTTAACTCATCAGATCGACACATAGCACAAAAAAAAAAAACCACTAACAAAGTGACAACAGACAAAAATTACCGACCTAAGAGTAATTGCAGTTAATTGGGGCTATTTCAACGCTAATAAAAAATGTATTCCTTTTGAGCAGTTAATCGAACACATTTCTAATTTAGGGGAGGAGGTGAAGGGGTGGGGATATATTAAGGCAATGATAGTTTACTGATAAGCTTATCAAAGCAAAGACCCAAGTCAACTTCATTTATATATTTTATTATCTTTTGACTGAAATGTTTGCTGACAATAATATTCATTCTAAAGACCATAAATTGTGCACCGCTCCTTGCTGAATTATTGTTCTAGTATGGAGCTGAATCAACACAAACTTGTATAATAAATAAATAAATGCCATATTAGCATGATTTGGTGTATACTTTCCCCGCCTTTCACGAAAAACATAAATACGGTTTATATTCGTTTATGCTTACCTTATAAAAATATCGCGAAACACACGGTGAAAAAAAAAAAAAAAAAATAACCCAGAGAATATCAGTTTAATTAGGAATAAACCGTCTACTCAAACAAAGTATGTTTCTTTTTAAACTTATTGCAAACTAAATAGTAAAAAATCAGACGATTGATATTAATCCCGACTACTATTTCATGAAATGACATCTTTCTGTCTCCCTTTTTAATAACAAGAGTTATAATGATAGAAAGAAGAATATTGAAATTAATGATTGTTCTACGCACTAATTTTTATTATTGTTGTTACAAAAGTGATTTAGTTGCATATACCTTAAGAAGAATTTTTTATGATTATATTTATAAAATGTGATGTATTGTTCTATATTCGATGAATACTATGTTTGAATAGTAGAAAATGTAAGTTCTTCAAGCCTCTTTATTTTTCTATAGGGACGGTTTCTACTATAGTAAGTTAATATCAAGCAAAAAACGTTCCGTACCTTTATTATCTAACGATAAACATTATATAACTTATCAACACTAATATTAAAATTACGTGACGCCACATCATATTTCGAATGAAACTAACAACGTAAAAACAACAAAGAACGTGATACATCGCATGTTCCACTTACCTGTATTAAGGTCTGAAGTCATGAAATAGTCACTAGAGTAG